TTGATATTGATGAAGGAACAGAAAGCACGTGGAGCTGTATGTGGCAAGAATATATAGCTTCTCAAGTCTTAAAGATTCTTTGTTATATTCCGAATAAGTATTCTGTATTTTATTTGGACTAGGTATTTTTTTATGGGTACTTTAAAATGTGGGGGTGGCGGCTATAAATTTTGTGAAATCAGAATGGTGCACGGTGGACTAGAGTGTTAATAAGAGAATATTTACATACATATAAAAAAAAAAAGAGAATCACATTTACACATGGTTTATTGATACTTATTGCTTTTGTAGATCTTTAAGTGCAATTATACTTTCTTTCATCATTTAAAAAAAAATTAAAAAGGAAGTAACTTTTTCAAAAGAAATTCATATGATTGTTATATATATGTCAACCTCCATCCTTTTCATCTTTTTATGATTATATCAAATTTTTTAATAACTACGCCTTATAATTGGGAGAGTTATGATTAAGAGGATAATTCTTTTAAAAATCAAGAGCTAGAAACTATAAGAAGCTAGCAAAAATTAAATAAGTGTTTTTTTATTCCTCATTTGTATATGTGAATGTGAATTGTGGAAAATTGGAACGGAGGAGATTTACTTAATGTATATAAAAAAAATGCTTAATTCTTCAAGGTCTAGTGAGACGGCACTAAACTCTATATGTAGGTTGTGGGAGTGCACCTCTGCATTGAGAGATAAAAAAAAAAGTTATATATATAAATCATATGTACAAGTCTTTAAAACTTTTGAGCAGGAGAACGAGTTAACTGTTAGACGTTAGGATTGTAAGGAATATTTTAGAACAGTAATGTTTATATATATAATTTAAGATAAATTATAATTAATAATTTTTATATACAATAATTAAGAAATAAAAATTAAAAATATTAAAAAATAGAAATATTTATATTGTAGTTTTTAATATACTTTTTAATGATTTTTTTTTATTTTTAAAAATTTGAAGATATTAATTAACATGACTCTTAATTTACTGAAAAAGTTTTTGTATTAATGAGATTGCTTATTTAAAAACGTCAGATAATGTGATGATAGGCTTCTAGATAGGAATTATGGGTGGATTTGATTCTGATTATTGTCGTTGGATGTTTAACATCTATTGGCCACCAAAGGCGATGTTGGTATCTTGCAAATAAAACCCCTTTCTCTATATACTTGTCTATGTTTCAATGCACAATTCATCACCAACCCAACTTAGGCCAGCATGATGCTGATGCCTCTCATGAATTTACTAATAAATAATCAACATGGTTACCCCAGCACATACTCCAGTTTAAAAACTATATTCAAATCCTCAGAGAACGGAATTGTATGCCTTATATGCGCATGACAACAGTCTCATTATATTCGAATATATGCAAACAAAGAATTTGCTTTAGGATAAAATTAAAATTTTTTATTATTAATTAAATTTTTGTATAACACAAGCAAAGAAAAACATGACCCTATTATTATTATTATTATTATTGTTATTGATACATTACTTAAAAACTAAAGTTTAAGTTTCAATCTAAAATTTAAGCCCACCGTTTGCTAGAATGTATATTAATAAGTCAAGTGTGAATTTAGTTGCCAGAGAGATATTGTATTTATATTTTATCAATGATTATATTTTTTATATTCACTTATTCTTTTATATTTTTCTTCCTTTTATTACATCATATATATACATTTCAAATAAAAAAAAACTTATTCTTGTTAACTAAAGTTTTCAAGAAATCTAACATGAAAGAGAAATTATAATTACTTCAAATTTTGATTTTTTTAAATAACAAATTAACAACTAAATTGATTAAAATCATAAGTAATTATTAAAAAAACAAGTGTATCACTTTATAGCAAAATAAATAAATAAATATCACTTCAAGCACCGTTAGCTCTTTTATTAAAAAATCTTCCACCAAAAAATTGAAGGAATGGTTGTTTTAAATTAAAATCCCATCAAAATTCTCCCATCGATCTTTTTTATAAAAAAAATAAATTATTTATTTATTTTAATTATAAAAAATATAAAATATATTAATTGTTAATTTTTTTTTATACTATTCTTTTATAGTTAAATATATGTTTATGAGATAATGATTACACTAACTACATAATCTAATATTATAAATATTTTTAAAATAAAATTTATATTTATGAATATTATAACTGATTTAATTATTCTTTTTATTCTAATGATTTAATTTTTTATTTTTTATAAAAAAAACTTGAGAAGAGTTTTTTTTTTCCTAAAACGGAAAAATACATCCGTAAATGTTTACGTTACTTTTGTTGTTTGAGTGGAGGCACTGCCAATCCCATAGTCTCGTACACTGAGTGATGTTACGCTGCACACATCCCAATTCCCAAATTAAACTTCAGGATGCATGGGCATGACAATGCTTTCTTGTTTTTATTTGGAAATGGAAGAGGTCTGGTCTATGCTTTTCTAACCATAGAATACGAATGACCATCATTAAAGTTTGGTTGAAAATTAGTTAAATTAATTCATTGAGTCAGCAAGCTGATTATTCCTAAAGATCAGAACTAAGAGAAAATGAGAAATTAAAAACTAAAATTTACTAAATGGTAGTATGATGATATAAGGCTTCCTAAAGATCGATGAGGATAGAGGAATGACATTTCGAAGGTTTTATTTTTTTGGAGGGGGTGTGGAGGAGGTTGAGAAGTTTATAGATGTAGTTGCATGTGGATGTCGATTGTCACAATCTTTAACTTCTGTATTCTTATTCACTTAAATGTTGAAGTTGACATTGTGTTATAACAATACATATAAGATTATAATTTTGAGTGCAAATTCTATCAAGAATATTATTCCTTCTCGTATGATAGAAAGTAGAAAAGAAACGCCGTTTATTAAAGAAAACAAAAACAAAAACCAGTAAATGTGAGACATAGTTCTTGACAAATATATATGTTCGGTTCCTTCCAAGTACCAACAGATAAGAGTGAACTAATAAGAAGATACTTTATATGATATTTTTTACAAGGCACTTTTTATAATTTTTATAAAATTATTATTATTATTATTATTTTCTTAATAAATAGAGCTAGTAAAATTTCAAATTAATAAAAAAGTATTAATAATAAATTAGGTTTAATAATATTAAATAAAAATAAGATTATCACATTTTAATATCTTTTTAAAATAAAAGCAATTAACAGTCTTTATGCTAATTAAGAGTAATAATCACGATACTCGACTAGTTTATTACTGCCGGTGGTCGCTCTATAGCCTTGCACCATTTTATAACTTTAGATGTATAATATCCCTATGTATTTTATTTATATATTGTATGGCTATGACAAATAGGGGACTAACAGAAAACCTATTATCGATAACTATTATCTGTCGACGATCGCAAAACTATGGTCAAGTTAATCCAAGGGTCATTTGCTTGAAGAAAAACAATGCCCCAGTAGATTACCAGAATGTTTTGAAATTATTTAGAGTTGGAGAAAAAAGTTAAGTTGACTCAGTTTTTTCAATTGTGATTTATAAGGATAAAATAGGGAAGGAAACATATCACTTTTTAACAAAATAAAAATGAGGGGGGGGGGGGGGGTACATTGTTAGCATAGATGAAAGCATCTGCATCTATTTGTCCAAGTAAATGAGTGGGTTACGAAAGCTAGATTTTTGTGCCAAAATTGTAATTGTTGCCTATAATGGAAAAATTACTGTTAACACTCAGCATCATGGTCCACCATGTATAAATGCCCCACGCTCGCAACAAAACAGGCTGGCTCAAACCCAGAGGGTAGAGGTGGTCCGCTTTTGAAGAAAGCATGCTCCATTTGGTTAATTAGGGTCTCAATCTCTTTGGTGTACCAAAAACTGCCAACCAAGTCAGAAGGTAGAAAATTAGAGACAAGAAAAGGAAAAGGAATAGGCACCATCACCACCCCATGTAAAGCAAGCACAGCAGCATCTAAAGCCAAAAAGATATTTCCATTCTTCGGTTTCATTGGATTTTCTGTCACACGTCCAGTCTACTTCAGACTGATGTCTATAAAATTGCCACAGGTTATTTTTTTCTTTGTAGTTGTCACATAAAAACACCAATGCTTGTTGACTCAAGGTCAAAAATTGCTCACTGCTTCTGCTGAGTATTGAGGGCCCTCCTTAAAAAACACTTACACAGCCCACTGGCAAAGATGGAGGAGTGTTTTGGGATTGCGTTCCCTAAGAACCCTACATAAATATAGGTACATGATTTTTATAGTGAGGAGTGATTCTGGTCTTTAATAAGGATATGGCAGATATTGGAGAGATACAAGTACGAGAGTATCTTGTGAGTAGAGTGGTCCAAAGTTGCTGCTACTGCCTAATGCATGCACTCTTGTGTAAGGATGCAAAGACCACTCAATTTCTCCGTCCCAGTCTCAACTTTAGGTGCTCACAGAAAAGGGAACATAAAGAGCAGCTGAGGGATGAAGCATTTGAAACCCCATTAAACAATTTTAACTAAATGGAGTACAAGCTGTTCAGAGGTGGGTGTCATTCTGCCATCCTGCAGATCACTGTCCAATGCACCTCTCCCCCCATCTCAGAATATTTGTTAATGAAAAGGACGCCGACTTTTCCTTTTGGCAAAGGGATTAGTGTAATCATGATGCCAAATGCTGCATGTGAAACCAGGTTAAAAACAACATGGGTAGAAACACAGATAATAATTATTCATTGAGGTGACTTTGCTACCAGTAACGGAGAATATAGCCCATGTAGTGGTTAATTTATGTTATTCCTGCTTCCTATTAATACTTCGAAACCAAGGCAAAAGCTCACAAGAAAGGTTAATCAAATTCATATGAAAACTCTCACCATTTTGAACCAACAAAACGAACTACCAATACTCTCAAGTCATCTCAGATAAAATGGTTTGCCCAAGATTTCATCTCTATCGTATTTTTTCTTCAATTTTAAAATCATACGGATCTTGATTTAAGAAAGAAAAAAGGATTCACAGTTCTTTGAAAACAGCCAATATAAATAAAGCAATTATACATTCTCGTATTCATCAAATTAATTCAAGACAAAAAAAGAACCCCGCCCTGCTTGATAGTACCAATTTTTGGTACGCTCCTATAAGACACGATTCAATTCAAAGGCATCAATAAATTAACAGATACACTTGCTGAATGGTTGAACTCATGTACGTCTCAACATTTACCACCTGAAAGAGATCTAGCTATAAAATACAGATCTCAATCAGATTATATAGAGCCGCATGGATGTAACCCTTTGAAAATGAATAAAAGATACAACTCATTGCAGACTTGGACATAGTAGTACAAACAATTTTTCTTAGATAAGCCGTAACACATTTGCGAAGAAAACAATGAATCTATATGGTTCTGATAATAAATATATTGCGCCACGACAGGGCCCCCCCAATAACCTACCTAGATTTTCCTAACCTCTTGAACTTGTAAGCGACCAGTGTGTGCAAGCAGCATTTTATGGATTTCTTCAGCTGTAGGACGTTCGCTTGGATTGTCTTCCACACACCTATGAAACAAATTAACAAGAAATTTCAATGTGTCTAACTCAGCATCTGATTTTTCCAGCTCTTCACCGGATTGGATCATCCTGGGTTCATTCATTGAACTCAATACCTCCAGCTCTTCAGTTAACCGTGGTCGTTTGCCCATCTGTATTGATACATTGTTCAAAAAATAATTAAAACAGAAAGATTGGACCTGCACATGGACCAACTAGTTCAAGCACTGCCCGTGGAGTACAAAAAGTGGAACAAAAGACAACCATACCTGCAGACTATCAAGGAAATGGGAATCAGGCATTCCAGAATATGGAATTTGCAGAGACAACATCTCCAAAAGTAAACATCCAAACGACCAAATATCAGCTTCCTGTCACAAGATAAAGATATATTACAACCCCAGACAATATTATTACTTCTGGTAGCAGAGAAAACTTGATTGTTTTCACTATATACATATTCTTAATTATATAGTGTGATAAGGTTTTCATTGTTGTATATACATTCTTCATTTGAGGTCATGAAAGATTGAACCAACTCATTTTCAAGATATGATATCATAAACCCGCTGCCAATAAGCAACATAAGCAATAGCACCTCTAACCAAAGGACCCGGACCCTCTCCTGTAACTGGTCGTCCAGTTTAGTTAATTTTGCATTTTTGCTTAAGCCAAAAATTTTCGCTTAAACGAAAATGCAAAATTTTGCTTGACTGGACCGTCCAATTTGCGCCAAAATGGGAGAGAATCCTGTTCCCTAACCCAAACAAGGAAAAAAATGGAACAGCAAATTTTTACTAGCTAGGTCAGGGGATATCATACAATTTTGATAAATGAACTGAAAATTTTACTAGGCATAGGCAGCAGCACAACAAAATTCTTAAAATTACTGTATTATCAGTAATGCTTTTTATAATTTTAGCTCTTTATACCAATGCAACAGTAATCTATTGCAAAGTATGAATAACATATGTCCATCCAAATTTGCGACCTAAGATACATATTCTAGAATCTAGATTATGCAATAGGAACACAAAAATAAAAGGGAAATAAATGATTATAGCATCTTATCTTCAAACTACAAAATATGAAATCAGAACTCTAAATGCAAGGTCCTCAAACAAAACAAATCCATCATAGTAGCATAGCATACAATGATAAAATCCATTTAACACAATTCTCTTAGTCTTCTCAGCATAACAACCTAAAGCAAAACAGAAGACTAGTTTCCACATTATGTAAAGCTGAATTTGTAATTTTTGTAAATTAGTTTCTAATCACTAGGGTATACATAATATTAAATTTCCCAAACTAATCAGACTGAGGTATTCATTTCCTGAATTATGACAAAAAAAAAAAAAAATAATTAGTCTCCCTTAAAAATATTGGCCTGTGCTTAGCACCAGCTTCCATACCAGTAAACCTAATACAAAACAGATTTACTGGTTATATATGTGACACCTGTTAGATATACATGACTTTTCTTCTATGTATCTTTCAATGACATTAATGTACTGTTGGTAACGTCTGGATGGAATTTTTTATGGAATGAATAATCTATTCTCTCAGTCTCATTAATAATTTCTTTCTTTTCAGACTAGTCAAAATATCTTAGAAGAGCAAGTAAAGTAATCCAACTTCTGCCATGTACTTTAGAATGAATCACCAAATTTGTTGTACAAAAATATTGTTAACAACAAAAACAGTTAAAGAGTCAAATTTGAAAATAAAGGGAATCAAAAACCTGGTCTCTAGTTTCATTCCTTCTAGGTTTACCAAAGTTTAGATTACTCCCTGTTAGCATAGACAATAGATAATATAACTAGAAAAAAAAAATGGACACACAGTTATATGTATATATAAGCAAGAAAAAATGGAGAAGCGAAATAATAGGAACAGGTAAAAAGCAAAAGGTGTTGGGGGATGGAGATGAATGTAACTTTGGAAATTGGAGAAAGAAAGGGGACCAGTCATTTTTCCAAAATATACTTCACTTTAAAACACAAAGAACTACCTCCCATTATTTTTATTTTTTAACAACAGCAGATTTACATAAACACACTATCTTTTTCCAACATCACAGAGACCTTCAAGATCAAAAGTTCTGCTATTGTTCACATATAAAAGCCCAAAAGACACTGAATATCATGAAAGATAATAAAGATATGGCTAATCAGTTGGGCTATCTTACCAAACCATAAGTGTTTTTTTCATACATAGTCCGCATAACTTCTGGAGCCATCCACCGAGGAGTTCCAACACATACACAAGGAGGAGGTGTCCCCAAATGACCAATACAGCACGCATGCAAAGTTGCTCTTAGTGGCACTGCACTATCAAAATCACAGAGCTTCACAGTGGGAGCTCCATTGTCTCTCTTCCTAACCAAATCAAACAGAATGTTTTCACTTTTTATGTCACGATGAATTATGTGCTTCAAGTGCAGCTCTGACAAAGCAGATGAGACATCTCTGGCAATATATAAAGCCAACTCCACAGGAACATGCTTTTCTCCAGCTTCCGACAGCTTCTCCAAATAGTTCTGAGAAAATAAAGTGTGAATTTAATAAAAACAATAAAAAAAGTTAACAATAAACACAAATATAATAACACCACAAAAATGATACAGAAAATCTTACTTTTAACGAGCCCCCTTCCACATACTCCATAAAAATTGCAGATTTTAGTACATGATGCTCAGGATTACCATCAGCTGAGATAGACCATTGACACGATATTTGGTGTCCATACATTTCGACTATGCAGGGGTGTTTTAAAGCACCAAGAATTCTAACTTCTCCCAAACAATTATATTCAAAATTTTTAATTTTGTCAGCTGAACTCCCCTGCACTTCCAAAGTACGCACCTACAATATCACACAAGATAAGTATAAAGTGCATCATATTATTTCATATTATATCCGAATAATCACAACAAGTTAAATGAAAAAAAGAGGACAGTTGAACATCATGAGCCTTGATGTCTAATTACATACCTTTGCTGCAGCCTCAACGGATCCAAATTTGCATTTAACTAAAGTAGTTGAAGCTTTTTTCTCGAGTTCATCGCCAGTAGAGAAAGATGGAAAGGAATAATCAGGACCTGGACTTCCTCCAGATGAAAGGGGGATTTTGGTTCGACTAAGAGGTATATACCTGGAACACCAAGCAAGTAATCAGACTCTGAACAGCACCATATAGTCTCACAGAATTCACAAAATTTAAATAAAGTTCTCACGTAAAGAATAAATTCTTAGTTCTGAGTAAGAAATCTTACTTTAAACTGAGAACTCTGTCACTGCCTAACTAACAAGCAGATGTTGGGTTTAAATTTTATTTGTCAGCAGAAATGAAATGCCAACCTCCATAATTAAGTTTTAACACCTTATCCCAATATGCACCAGTGTTTGGAGAAAACTGTTATATTCAAAGTCACTAAAATTCATTTAATTTTATACACGATAAGGTTCCATATACATATTTACCCAGACTTCCAGTTATGTAATTCTGACCATGGTAGTTAGAATAGCATGATTTGCGATTCGATGCAGTTTCGCATCTTAAAGATACAAATCGCAGGGTGTATCAGATTTGTTCCAGAATCGCAGCTTGAATCGCCTGAATCGATGCGGAATCAGGATTCTTGTCCGTGACGCACGATTCTGCCGCAAACCGCGCATGACCCAGTTCAGTTGTGTTGCTTCCTCTACATGTGTACTGGCTGGGTGCATGTGTGCTGCTGTACCTGCAAGCTTGAGTTGCTCCTCGATGTTAGTCGTTGTGCCTGTGAGTTCGCCTTGGGTGTTTGAATACGAGTCTCTCCATTCTCACTTGTAGACTTCATTTTTTATTTTTTTTCCTATTTGCATGTTTTATAGTCCTTTTGTTTTTTTGTCAGCATTTGTCTACCATGTCCATGTGAATAGCTTAGACATTGCAAGGTGTGAGCTGGGCCATGTGAATAGTTCAGACAATAGGTACTGTAGAAAAATGTTTTTCTTTTTCTTTTTTTTATAAAAACTTATATTATTTAAATAAATAAATAAAATTGCATTTTTATAGAATTATAATTTTTATGGGTTATGATATACATTTTTAATTAAATTTGATTAAATGTTATTTATGATTTTAAGGTTATTTTATTTATTTCTGATATTTTATCTGTATAAATATTTATTTATTTAATTATAATTTTATATTTTAAGATGTTATGATCTTCTAATTTATAGATGATTTATACAATTACAACCTTTTTTTTAGGGTCATTCTGGTTGATGTGATTTAAATTTTTGTACTATGTTTTATTTTATAAGTTATATAATAAAATTAATATTTGACTATAAAATATTAATACAAGGATGAATTTAATTTTTCTTTATATTAGAATTTTTTTATTATATTTTTAGCAATATCATGAATCTTAACGATTCGATTCACGAAAATAGTTATTCCGATTCACGATTCGGATCTCGATTTAACTACTATGATTCTGACATTCAAAATTATGTTTGGACACCTAAACCAACCATGCACTGAGGATTTGGAAAAAACCATGATATTCAAATTTCAAAGTCATATTCTTTAATTTTATACAAGGTTAGGTTCAATAAAGATATTACACAAATAGGCAGACTAAAACTGGAGTCAGGTTTGCCAGTTTTAGTTTAATAATTGTGAACCATAAGAAATATTGTTTACATGCCTACAACAGGATATGAGATCAGATATAAAAAATGAATCCAAGATCTAAAATGCCAAATAATGGATGATTATTTAAAGTATGATAAATATTCAACAGGAATAGGACTAATACCAAAAGCTTTATTCAAACAAGAATAACTAAACTTCATTAACATATAAAATTAATCTTATATATACCCAACTCAAGCAAAAGATGAAATGTAAATATGTGACAATATTATATAATACAAAGCCAAACAGTGTTACTGCACGAAGATGTGCTACACATCCATTTATCACTCCGGAGGTACATACCTGCAACAGTATTCAGGATCTTTCTCTTCTCTTATATCATGAGGCCGACACGCATCAATCAGCATCCGAACCCATGAACTACCCCTCTTAATCAGAATGACATTCCAGGCATGTGGTGAAAAATCCAAGTAGCCCCTCACAAGCTCACAAGGTACTGGCGGCTCCATGTGATCACATAAATACTGTAAAACAAAATAACTAGCATTAGATCATCACAATGAGGGCCAAAAACTGAAAAGCCACAGCACAAAATATATACGCAAAACTATAGGAAAAGAGTAACAATGATTCACCTTAAAAAGCAGAGCTCTATGTCTACATACACCATACTGCACAGAACCAATTGGAACTATGATTGAATTTTGCCTTTTCTTGATAGAATCAAGAGATTTCTCAGAGATCCTAGAAAGAGTGATATCTTCTACAGCATTTACACTTGGTTTGGTGGAAGAACTTATACCCGTGCTGCTTCCAGCCGAACATGTACAGACAAAAGGCTTAGTATAGTTTGAACCAGACACAGATTTTCGTGTCCTCTCAACAATAGCACCTCTATCACTGCCACCGAAATGATCTGATACAAAGAGTGCAAGAAGTGAAGCTATCTGCAAGTTATCAACCATAGCCTGGTTCCCAGGTCTGCTTACACCATATAACTGCTTTAAATTATAGACCAATGCCTGAGCAGCTAGTATAACAGCATCAAACTCTTCATCCCTTTTTCTGAAAGAGAACACACAATCCAGTCATGTTAGGCAGGGAAAAGAACCTCACATATTATATACTAACAACAACAATATTTAATAATAGTAGCAAAAAACCTGTCTAAAAGGATAACTTCACGAGAAGCAAGACACTGATTTTGCTCATAACTCTCAAGGGGCATAAATGGCCGATCACGTCCTGCATCATAAAAGCCATCTGATAAATGGTCCTCAACACCGCACAATGAGATCTTGCTAAACTTGCAAGACAATGAGCTATCACCAAGTGATTTTCTACACTTGCATGGTTTAGGATTATCAATATCCTGATCCGAATGTCTCTTTGATTTGGAAATACACTGCAAAAATTCTGAACAAGATGTTTCATCTCGTTCACTTTGTCCATTCTCTAAGGTGCATAAGGATGAATCTTTTTCATCCTCGCATTCAGCAGTGCAGCAATCTTCACTAGAAAAGTGCTTTTCAATAATTACTTCATCATTGTCAACATTATCAATTACATTATTATTTACTGCTTGTTCAGAAAATATTCTTTTCCGACTATCATCAAGGCCCCCATTATCTGATACAGATTTTGCACAACCTTCAGAAGCAAGACCATCAAGATTTCCTGGTTCTGAAATTCTGTGAACCCTCTTGCTCAATAACTGGTCATGATCTACACCTTTCCACTTCCTACTGTTGTTCAAACGTTCTTGACGAGCTTTCTGCTGTAAATAATGTCGCCGTTTCCACCGTTTACCTGACTTCCGAGCTGCAAAACATCTACTGCTACATGAGGAGCTTGTTAATATGCTTGATGAGGTGTTATGAGGGCCTGCAAAAGAATTCATACAAGAGTGTAGGTTGGGCTCTGAATACACGAACTCAATCATTCACAATGCAAAAGGGAAGAGCAAACACAAAATGAGGGGGAATAAACCAAACATGGAAAAGCATTATAAGCCTCACCATGAGAAACGGCTTCACCATTTTCCTGAAAGCTACTTTCATAGACATCCATTTCAACAGAAGAACTGCCGCAGTCATCTTTGCATCTAGCTCCATCATTTCCCTCCATACTACAGCATATCCATGAAGGAACTTGAAACATTCCAAGCAGCTTGTTGTACTTGAACAATAAATGTATGAAGTATAAGTTACGAGCTATTTAGGCATATGGAAATCATAGGAATTTGTTTTACAAAAACTCAAATCAATAAATTATACAGTTAGAACTTCAGAACACAGAAGTGATGCACTATATAGATAAATGTGCACTCCCACATGCACCCAGAATCATCATCGTTTGTTTCATAGACAAACTACAGCTACAAAATCAATACCTTGGATGCACAGAGGCACCTTCAATGCGGTCCCTCCATGTCAAACACTGTCAGATGCCACCAAATTAAATGCATATTAAACACAAATTCAAACAAAGGAAACTGGACAAACATTCCATGTCAGACACCAGCACACACAATCAACCATAAGCGAAATCTACATTTAGTAATTTTTTTCAGATAACCAACATATTAGACCAATAAGCAGATCTAACAAACAACGACTACTATCATATACACCCAAAAAATTCATGTAAAGCATTGAGAGAGTAAGATTCCAATAGGAGGATAACTTCAGCGCATTAAAAGGACAAAGCAAATTCAGAAAAAGCAAAAGCCCCATCTATGAACAACACAGATATTGAACAGAGCAGTATGATTGCAGAATGATCCTGATTGAACAAATCATAGCTAGGTACCTGAAGATTTAAGTTCTGAAGTCTATGCATGGAGGCAAGTTCAAGGGATCCTAATGAAGTCAACCTATTATTTGACAGGTCCAAACTCTCCAGCCTTGACAGAGAGGACATAGCCGACGGTAGTTCCACCAACTTGTTATTCGCAACCTTCATGGATATTAAGCCATTCAAATAACTAATCTCCGAAGGCAATGTCTTCATTTTATTGAATGAAAGATCAAGATACTCCAGGTTCTTTAAGCATCCAATTTCCGGAGGAAGGTATCTAGAGTTTAAAAAAAAAAAAACATAAACATACACAATCACAATGAAGCATAACTCAACAAAACATAGAATAAGGTCTTAATGCTCCATAAAATTCACATAAAGCAAGTAAAATTCAGCAGTGAAAGCTAACAGGAACACTAACCGTATAGAGAAATGGCAAATGGAAAGCTTGGTCAAACACTTGAGACCAGAAATCTCAGTCAAAATGGGAAAAGCAGAAGGTCTGGGAGGGCCCTTAGAAAGTTCAAGCTCCTTCAAACCCTTGAGCTCGTGCAAGTGCAAGCCACCAATCCCAGGCGAAGAAATCTTCATCTGCAAGCACTCCAACGCCGTCAAGTTCCCAAACTCGGGGGCGAACAAGTTAATCTCGTTTCCGAAGAACTTCAACGTTCGCAACCGCACGAGGCCAGCTACGGACTTGGGAATCAAGCTATAGATATTCTTATACATGTACAAACTCTCGACGGAGTCTTCGGCATTCTCAGCCGCCAGGAACTCGACGGTCTTTCCGGTGACGTCGAGAGCCAGGGAATCGTCGATTCCGGGGTCGAGCGAATCGCTAGAGGTGTTATGGTCTTGGGGTTTATCGGAGGGTTGGGGCGCGGTTTCGTCGGAGTGAAGGAGCTGCATTGGGTGCGATGATGTTTAACAGTGGGAGAAGGGAATGGGAAAGGAGAAACCCTAGAATACAGAAGCAGCAATTGCAGTGAAAATGAATATTTGGGGACTAGTCGCGAATCGAGACGTTGGTTGCGAAACACTGCCCGAAGGGACGATAATAGCCCCCATCTTCGCCCTTAATTACTGGGTTTTGGCGGAGTCAAAAGTGGCTGCGGGGCTATATGTTATAAAGATAGAGAGGAAATTATCATTTTCGTCTCTATTATTTCTAAACTTCATTTAAATTCAGTACAGAGTAATTTAAATTCTTTTTATTTATAATCATCAATTATTTTAATATTTAATTTTTTAATAATTCATTTAAATAATTTATAATCTAAATAAAATATTTTTTAATATTTATTATATATAATCATTATTTATTCTAATTGTTAACGAATATAATTATTTATTACTTGTTTTTATCATTATTTAGACAATAATTATTTTAAAGAATAGAATAACTTAATGCATCAAGTACATAATATTTGATATAATAAATAACAAATATTTAATCAATTTATTTATTCTTCATCAAATTTTAAATTTTAAATAAAAATTTAAGACATATCATATCACCTTACCTTTAAGTTTAAGGGAGAGATACGTCTATTCTTTATATTTAATCAATTAATGGGTATTTTTTGTTGCAAACTCTTTTTTTTTTTTTTTAATTAAGTGAAAACTCTACTTCGAATGAATAATCTCATTGTGACGCATCCAGTGGTATTCATGATGCGGATGTGTTCATCTTATGTTGTTCGAAAATTTGACAACTTCACATTACATCCTCTGTTTTTTTTTTTTTGGGTTAGATAAATGTCAATCGTATTGTTACATTTTTTATGATGTGTATTCAGAAAATATATATTATAAAACAATTTTAATAATTTTAATGTTATATATAGTTAAAGTTGCAGGTTTAAGAAGTATAAATTTTAAATAAGAAATAATTATTTAAATAAATGATATTTTGTCGTTCAAAATATTATCTATTGATATATACTTGTTTATATATATATAAATAAAGCAAAATATAATACAGAATTATGCAAAAAATGCAATATGTCTAATCTCCAGATCGTAAACCCAATAAACCATGAACAACGTTGGTCGTTTACAAGTAAGAAAAAAAATACAAAAAAATATTTTTTTAATAAATCTAATTTAAAAAAATAACATGAAAAAAGCTTCCAAAGTAGGTTCACAAGTAAAAGATGTGATGTCAAACAGCATACAATCTTGTAAATTTTTTGTTGTATAACGCGAGGGCACGAGAAGAAACGCAGGATAATGTGACTTAGAAAACTAAACATAACTGAGTAAAACTAACTTGAGTCATAATCAACTACCTCTAACTGTCCAATGCACTTAACAAACGTGTACACTGACTTCTTGTATATGTTTATTGCACTCTCGCAAAGTTATAGGTCTCTGAATTAATTGCAAACAACTTAAAATGGACACTGACTTGTTTATTATTAGCAAAATTATGAAAATTATTTTTTGTATCACGGAGAATTAATATAGACTTCAAGAATTACTATGCTTTTTTTAGTGTTTCTCACACGCTGACGAAGTTCCCATGGATGACGGCAATGATACACATGGCATTGGCATTGTTCCACACATTTAGCAGGAGGTGACAAACCCAACCACCATACGTGAACTACAAGCTCAACGGTGAGCACGATTGTTACTTGTCTTTGCTACATGGTAACAAAATGGATTAGAAACGTCTGATCAGGATCCAAAGACGGTAGAGTACCCAAAACCTTAAAAGATGAAAGGAAAAATGGGTTTTCAAAAGGTACAAGGTAAGGTGTCAAAACACACATAGCCATAGATTCATTATTTTAGAATAATCCTATACAACTATACAAGGAAGGTGTTCATATATTTATAACAAAAAAAAAACATAAAATAATGCAAACAAATCCTATTTAACATTCAGCTTAATAAATTCTATTAGAATTAACTATTAAATAAGCAAAACTTTTTTAATAAATTATAATTTATTACTTCATTAAACGTTAAATATAAATTAAATAAATAATTTAAATTGAATGTAAGAATTTTTAAACTTATAAAAATTTTATTCTAACTTAATTTATGATATCAAATTTTATTTAAATAAATATAATTATGTTAAATATTTTTAAAAAATTTGTTTGTTATTTATATTAATATCATTCAACTTAAATGAGATTGACTCAAGTAAAAGATAAGTGTAATTTAAACTAATAATACTCAATTAATTATAACTATCTAATATAGTCATGTTAAATAATTATTATTATGGCTACACATTTTAAAAGCTTGATGAACTCTTTTTTGTGTGTGGAGAGGTTAGGTTACGTATAATTTGATAAAAAAAAATGATATTAACTTTCTTCAAAGTATTTTTTTTAAAATACAATAATTTTAAATAAAGTATAATTTTTAAAAGTGGGCCCGGCCATGGTATAGGGTTGAATGAAACAGGGCTGGCCCCATCTGTGCCTGTTAAGTCATATTTGAACATCCATGTTAGCGATTTTCTGTATGTTTGTTCTCCTTTCAGAAAAAACTTGGGTAGAATTTTAACTGAAAAACTGGTGGTGATTGCGTTAGAATTTGTAAATGTCAATGGCAAATGAATCGAGTTGGGTTGGGAGGAAGCCAGTGAAACGCATTGGGGGAATGTCTGATGCTCTATCAATTGCGGCCGATCTCGGTTTCTCCGTGTCTCCTCCCCCATCTCAGGTACCATTCTTCCTTTTTCCTCCGATTCGCACTCTTTGTTTGCCAAATTGTAGTACGTTACTGTCTCTCTTTCTAGGAAGGACTTCAAAATTCGTCCCCTGCAACTGGGGACAAGGGTGAGGACTTGATCAGGGTTTTGAGAGAACTAACCACTGTCCAAAGAAAAATTGCAGATTTGCAAGTTGAACTTCAAGGTCGAAAGGTTAGCATTAGCCATTTTTGTTTTATATGGATCTGGACCATCTGCTGTTTTACTTTAAACAAATTCGTTTCACTATTTAGTTAAGAATAGATAAAATGCATGGAATAAGTTTTTTTTTTTATAAAAAAACCAGTGTCTTCTTTTGATATTTTGTGTTTATTTATTTTTTACTCGTACTCATCTTGAGATTTGCAAAATTTTTAGGATGATAAAAATGTTGCACACTTGACTCATGTGAGTGAAATGGAAAAGAAGATTGAGACATTGGCAAGGATTACCACTATACTCAAAGATGTTATTCAGAATAAGGTAATGTAATTTGTCCACTTTTTCCAGCACTGCTTTAGTGCATCAGATTCTCAATTTTAGTTTATTATTTTTCACATTTGTAAATTGTTAATTATTGCAGTGGTATTAGTGACTAAATTCCACGAAATGCTTCAACAGAGACATAATTATTAATTAGTGAATATTTAGACCATATCAAGAGGATTTCTGTATGTCTCATTTTATGCTTTCTTATGCTGTTGTTTACTTTTCCTGTTCGACAATTCCTTTCTCGGTGTTGGGTATCTAGGGTTTCAGGTATAACTGGACAACCTATTATATGCTTTCTATCATTATTTTTTTGCTAAAATTTGGCAGGATCGCATTATAGCTCGCCTGCAGCAGCCATATTCCCTTGACTGCATTCCTGTTGAAGCAGAATATCAGGTTAGTTTAAATTGTTGTTGAGCCAAATACATAAAAAAAGATGTACGAAGTTATTGATTTTATCAATGGTTGGCCATCCAATGGCATGCACAGGCAGTTATGTGTGTGTTGGTATGGTTTTTTGGTTGTGTTAGTGATAGTGATGTTGCTCATTTGCATACATTTTCTTGTTTTGTGCTTAGTTCCCGAGTTTCCTAGATGTTGTCTTTAATGTGGTAATTTTATTACTTTGCTTTAATAAAGCATGTTAGCTACAAAATGCAGCATTATAGGAACAATTTGATACAGTGACTTCAACTGGAGCTGTTATAAATAAGATCAAAGATTCTGGTATGCAATATAAATTACACATTAAGGAGCTTGATCTATTTGCTTCACCATCCATTATACACTGGAAATTAAGAATATAGTTCATCACTTTCTTGGTCAATCAAGTGCTGATTGGCATCTGTAGATAAGACCTATGTAGTCTGTACACAGGCTTAAATGTTTTTATGCACTGTGCTTTATCAGCTACTCAGCTACATGAGTTCGTTCAATTATTCCTGTTGCTTGAGATGCTGAACTAACGTTTTCTTGTGCAAATTGTTTTATATATTTTAAAATAAAGTATAAGGATTTTGCTTAAATAAAATATATTAATCCTTTTGTGAACCGTTACAGTCCTATGATACTACCATGAATTTTGTCCCTACAATTTCACATACCCAATTGAAATTACAAATTTTAATATTGTGGGCAAGAATAAATTGGTTCTAATATTAATATATAACCCCTTATCCTTGTAGTTGAAAATTGATGTAAATGTTGAACTATTGTTCAGTGTAAATTTTCAACCAATGTAAGACTGGCATTGTAATGCTCGAGTATATATTTCTCTAATTTGTACAGAAACAATTCTCTGAACTATTGATGAAGGCGGCTAGTGATTATGGTGCCTTAACAGCATCAGTGGCAGATTTTCAGTGGAGTCAAAATTTTAAGGAACCGCCTTCGGTTTGGGGGGTATGCTTCTGCATTCCTTTTATTTTTTCAAAGATATTCTTGATATAAATATTAGGACTTTCTGTTTGCATTATGTCTTAACTTCTAAACCGATTTCCATCCTTAGGCCTTAGTTTTCACCTTCTACTTTTCATTAATATTTTAACTGTTGTTTAGAAGCATCCAGAATATGATTAAGTGAATAATTGAAGTCTATTTAAGTCCACTTTGACACTCTAAAATTGCTCCAAGTCCAAATCAGATCAAATAACCTACAAAATACTACAAATGGAGTTTTAAAATAGTTATAATGAAATTTTTGACATGTGAAAGAAAATCTTTTTTTAATTCTTAATTTGAATTTACGGGTTCTAAAGGTTTTGCATTTTATCACATTTCAGTAAGTGTTTTCAAAGGCATCAAGGTGCTCAGGCACTGCTTTGAGGACATCTTGTGCAATGTTAATGTCCAAACCTTTTTGTGTTTGCTACTTTCATTTTAAATGAAATTACTTTTTATTTTTTCTCCAGGAAATGCTTCGACCCATTCCTGTAGCATTGGCATCTTGCACTCGGTTCTTTGAAGCTATGTCTGCCACAAGAGAGTCATTTGCAACACTTCAGAAACTGAGAGTGGGCCAATTTGATTCCCCTTTACCTAGGACACCAGCCAGAGATCCTTCCCAAAGATTACCAGGAGTTTCTGATTGTCTAACACCACCTCCATGGAAAACTGAAACAAGCTTTGATGACTTAGGTATCAGAAACCAAAGGAGGCAAGATTTAGATCAGAAGGTGGAGGATGTAGACAGCTAGGTAAATGAGATCTAGCAGGATGTTACAAGCCAAGGATCTTGTCCTGCCTTTCCTCGGTGAAAGAAGAGTGTGCATAGATATCCAACGTACTCGGCGTTTCTGTTGTGTGATATATAATACTTTAATTGTTTGTGCAGATGAATTATTCTTCCTTTTTCAGAATTATAGTTTTTTGAGTCATAGGAATTCACGTGACAACTTGTGTGTGGACTCTCGTTGTTTACCACTGCTGAAACCTGAAAGGCTAGAAGTCAGGTTGAATGACTACTGGCCAACACATTATACATCCATCACTCAACACGTTTTTGCTGTAAAGCTAGAACGTAATATTAACTTGATGTAATTTCGCGTATTGACCCCACTATCCGGCTGCTATGTGCCTATGTCGCCATATCTTGCTGCATCAGTTTTTACACGTAGGAAGAGAGATGCTATTTCTAAATCTAAATTATTATTATTATTATTATTATTATTATTATTGTTTTTAACAAATTCAAGAAAGATAGGAAGAGAAAGTGAGAGTGAAAAAGTGTAAGACGAGTGATGTAATGAAGAGAGATAGAAATAAAATTGTTATAAAAATTTGTTGTGTTAATAAAACTCCTGTAACAAATAGAAACTTTAGTTAGTTGTTGCTATTAGTTTACAAGTTACCAACACTGGGTCACAGAGTTAATAGCAAGTATAGGGATATAAAAAAAATATGTAAAAAGTATGCAATTAAAATTTACTTAGATTAGTGCACATGTGTGTCAATTTGCATCTTTATTTTAACCAATAAGTTTTTAGTATATTGTAGGGAGATTATTAAATTAAAATAAAAACATGTTGTGTGATTATTTTGAAGTTAATAAACTTTATAAATTTAGAAAAAAAATATTGTAATTGTAATAATAAATATTTTATTATATTAAAATATATTAAATAAGAGATAGAATTTTTGAAATTGAAAAATAGATTATAAAAACTTAAATTAACATTAAATTATTTTAAAGTCAAATGCTTGATGAGAGAGAAAACTGATTCTTAAAAATATTTTTGTTTAAGATAATTTTTAAAAATATTTTCTAGATTCAAATTATATATAGAGGTAAATTTTATTTGGAAATTAAGTGATAGTATTTGACTTATATCTGTTTGATTATTCATCTTATAAGAGTTGCAATAATTAAAGGAAAGGTTTTGAATATTAGGTTGGAGGTGTGAAGCGTAAATTTAAGTTTATTTCAAAACTTAACACGTGGATCGTATCTGGCATTCACTATTAATCAATATTAATCTTTTTTGTGAATAAATCTGGTTGCAGTGCAGAAGGCCCAGCCCATTGTCATTACGAGATAGAAATTTGACCAGGAAAAAAAAGGAAAAGAAATTGAACTCAAATTAAATAAAGCGCAGAAAAACGAGGGAGCGCTAACCGTTTGCTCTTGCTCTCGCTTCTCAGCTCTAACAAACTCTCCCTCTCATTTCCCGCCTTATATATATACTGATTCCTTCACCTCATTCATAATTCAAAAATATCTCTCCCTGTTCTTAAGCCACATTCAAAACTTCCTTCTACATCCACGATGCTTGCTACGCTCAAGTAAGTCATAGAATCTAGTTCCGTTTATTCTCCATCTAAGAATTTCATTCTAACCTCACAATTTGAACGTCAATGACTTTTCAGATCCGAAGAGTCCAGCGGCCAGCTGCAGCTCGTCGAACGCGAAGACATCGATGACGATGAAGACCTCTTCGAAGCAATCGACAAACGTATTTCCTCTGAACTCTGTTTTCCAGTTCGTTTTCGTCGTTCTTCTTTTTCCTAGATCACCGCACAAAACACCGATATCTGTATTTAACTTCTCTCTCCTCTTCATTCCTATCGGTTTCTAGTTTTCAATTTTTGTGCTCTTGGCTGAGTTTTTCTTCAATTCACTTTTTCACTGAACAAATCAGTTACGATTGTAAAATCTTCATCCTCAGTGGTCTTTGTTTTCCTTCTCTCCGGTTCTTCTAAAAAATTTGGCTACATACGCTACTAACCGAACACCGATCTAGTTTGAAAAAAGCACAACTCCGTCCTCATTTGATTATTGGCAAAACGTTTCATCTTCGTTTCACATCAATATGCATCTACGCAGTGATTTCCCAAGGCATCAATGCCGGAGATGTGAAGAAGCTTCAGGACGCTGGGATATATACTTGCAATGGCTTGATGATGCACACTAAGAAGGTTTAACTTCAAACTCATCTCTGATTCGAATTTCTAAGGACGTGGAATGTCAATATACTCTGCATTTCAATTACTAGCAATTTTTGTTATATTTTGGCAGAATTTGACTGGAATCAAAGGCCTATCCGAGGCCAAGGTCGATAAAATTTGTGAAGCGGCCGAGAAGATTGTGGTAAGAAATTGTAATCTATTAAATCTCCACTTCGGAGTACTACTCCAACTCGTTATAATTCGATCTTTATACCTTATTGCCCTCTTTCCATGCAGAATTTTGGTTATATTACCGGAAGTGACGCTCTACTCAAAGTAGGTTGTTAATTTTGTTTGGAAATTTTCGAATTATAGATTCGATTTAAAACGACACGCCTTTAACGTGTTAGAAATTGTGGCTTCCGTTAGGCTTAAGTACAACTTACTTAGTTGTATTTGGATTAAGCATTTATTTGTCCTCTGTTACTGCAGAGAAAGTCAGTGATCCGAATTACAACCGGAAGTCAAGCGCTGGATGAATTGCTTGGAGGTAGCATTACACGGAGAATTTCTTCCTTACAGTTTTGTATGACTAGTAAATTTTGACTCTCTAATTTTCGTAGCCATCTTCTCTCTGAAATTTTCATTTTAACTTCTGAAAAAGGCGGGATCGAGACACTGTCAATTACAGAAGCGTTTGGAGAGTTCCGGTGAGAGCATAGAACATATCTAGTTTCGCCAGAGATCCAATTCATATTCAGTTTCAGAAGTTTATTCTAAGGATACGATTTTATTTTTCAGATCTGGGAAAACACAGCTTGCTCATACTCTCTGTGTTGCCACTCAGGTTTACTTCTGTGATCTCTCCATGGTCATGGCATGCGAGTGTTGACTTAGTTAAAATGCGAGTATTTTTTTTTTCTTTTTCTGAAGTTCATTTTTGTATGTCTTGTCGTACGCATTGATAGTTTATTAAACACCGAATTTAAAAGCATTAAGCCTTATTTTCACGCATATTGAAATATTTGGTGTATACTACTGACCGTTCCTGACCTCTCCAGCTGCCAACTAATATGAGGGGAGGAAACGGAAAAGTTGCTTACATTGACACGGAAGGAACTTTGTATGATTATTTTCTCTCTTCACATTTAACCGTATAGTGTTTGTGACAGAGCTAAGAATTGGCCTTAACTACTAGGAACTTCTAGTCCCTCTGCATCGATAACTTACGATTGTTTTTAAACTGATATCCACCCAATTTTACCAATGTTGCATGTTAATTCGCAAATAACTGTAGTCGACCTGATCGCATTGTTCCCATAGCTGAGAGATTTGGCATGGATCCTGGGGCTGTACTAGACAATGTAAGTTTTCTCACTTTCTTATAGTTGGTTCTGAAGGGAAATATTTTGGGGTCGACACCTAACCGTATACTGTTTGTGTCTGCGCCAGATTATATATGCTCGTGCCTACACTTATGAGCATCAGTACAACCTCCTCCTTGGTTTGGCTGCTAAAATGTCCGAAGAACCATTCAGACTTCTGGTGAGATTTTACTAATGGAGTAACAAATTTATCTTCCTTTGCAATGTCATGGGATATGGCAGTTAACGGAATTGATTTCTGCAGATTGTGGATTCGGTGATCGCTCTGTTTCGGGTGGACTTTTCAGGAAGAGGAGAGCTTGCAGAACGCCAGGTCTTGTCATTAATATGCACTTAAAATAATAGGTTCACCCCCTCCCCATGTCAGCTTTTGCTGACTTGAACAAACCATTTTCAGCAAAGACTAGCACAAATGCTTTCTCGATTGACAAAGATTGCTGAGGAGTTCAATGTTGCTGTTTATATGACAAATCAAGGTAAATTCTGCCTTAGTGAATTAAGATTTTATTTTTCCAGTTTATTTTTTTCACTTCGAAGTCCCAAGATTGTTTTGATACGACAAGCATTAGCATTGGATTTTTAGTTGTAGCTTTATGTGAGGACCCTAAGCGTATTGATGATTATCTTCAAAATATTGCTTTGGTTGCAGTCATAGCTGATCCAGGAGGTGGGGTGTTCGTAACTGATCCGAAGAAACCAGCAGGAGGTCATGTACTCGCCCATGCAGCCACAATAAGGTTGATGTTCAGGAAAGGGAAAGGCGATCAGCGCATTTGCAAAGTATTTGACGCCCCAAACCTGCCAGAGGCTGAAGCGATATCCTTTACCCGACCTTGCTTCTTTAGTAATCTATTAGTTTTCTTTCTCAGTTTGCGAGTCATCTTACAATTTGCCCCAAATGACTTCGAAATTATGGCTATTATATCGTGAAATTGGCTTTTACATAATTCTACATAGAACCAGCTACGTCTATTAATTTTAGATGGGGGAAAAACATAATCATGACAATTGGAACCACACTACAGTACATCTGAGAATGAGGAGAAAACTACCTCAATTATCCACGTTTTCTCTTGACAGAATTACGTCTTCCAGATAACACCAGGGGGCATTGCAGACGCTAAGGACTGAAGTCGCTGCTGACTTCTGGGCCGAATCCACAAGAGATACCAGTGGCTGAATATTTCTAGTAACCTTAATCTTCTTGATATTTGCTTATTATAGTTTGTATGAAAAGTGCTGTTGCTTGAACAGGGTTAGTATATACCAGATATATCATTATACGAGTGCCCCTTAGTTATATATGTGCGCAGCTATTTTGCAATTTGAGCATTACTCTAAACACTAAACAAAATCATGCTGTACGTGACTTTCTAGGGACCCTATTTTTGACATAATATCCATCGTATTGATGGTTTAAGCAGGGTACAAATAGGGCTTTAATAAAGCAAAGATAAAAAAAGACCAAACAAAAACAGTAAGTAATCATCGGTTTTAGGATGAACCTGTCCGCACGTTGATATTATTACATGATCTGTGCCTAAAGAGTATGAGCTCAATATTTGCTTCCAAGCAATTTATATAGCTTCATGAAATCATTTATCGATTCAGCAAGCAAATTAATTTGACAAGCTAAGCCTCGCCTGAGCCTCAAAGTTATCATCACATGATGGGAACAGATCCAGAACTTGAAATTCAACCGAGTTCGCATAAAATTAAAGTCATTGTGAAAACAGAATAGAGTTGCAATCATATATTATTAGACCAGTTAGCAGCACTCCCAACCCTTGGCATGCCGGTCGATTCCTTCTTAGCCTCAGCATCCACCTTGAAAGTGGCACCACACATCTGTCCAGAACTGTCAACCCGTGGTACGGGCTTCAACTCATTAAGTGGATGCTCAAAACTGCTCAAACCTCCAGATGTTGTAAAGAAACATCCTGAACATGGGATAATATGTCATTTTTTGCACGAAATCAGTGAATGTTCAACATGGAAGAAAGAGGCAGTGGACAGTCAATTACATAACATAAGGACCTTGAAATGAAATGGACAACTGCAACGTGAAAAATAATATAACAACGGGTGCAAATGTCATATTTTACTCAACTTAAATAATGACAAATCATCTACATTTTCGATTTTCAAGACATTGAATTTGTCATTCCTTTCTTCCTCTTAATTCACTTTTAAATTTTAATACACTAGAACAATTTTTTAAGGTGTTGTCTCACAGGAAATGTTCACCACAGGGGATGGTGGAGAATTTTTATATAGTCAAACTGCCCTTCCGCAACAAATCTTTTTACCTTTAGGGAATGGCCCATAAGATTTCCCACAGCTCTTAGTTACAATATCTGTCTCATCAGAAAGAACGAGATTTCCATCAGCATCAGTACCCCAGAAGAAGGGAACATTCCCATCATCATCCTGTCAAAAAGCAGGGTATGTATGCCAGGTTAGAGAAGCAAACTACTGACAGATATGTAGGAAAAGAAATGGACCAAGGATATAACTCACCGAAGCAATAAATGTGGTCTTAGAACCACTATCAAACAGAATAAATGCAAATTTGCCTTGGAAATCTCTCACAACCTGAGCAGCAGGATAGGGACCACGATCTCTTAGTGTCCTGTATGCCTCTATGACAATGATCACCTCATTTGCTGCTTTATTCAATCCATATTGTTGCTTAAGATGAGCAACATTCTCGAGGTGGCCTTGAAACAAGCAGAAGATGTCATCCACAACTGCAAACAGCCTGGCAAATAAGAAAGGAAGACAAATAATTATCAAGAAAAGAGTAATCTTCAACAACTTTATAACATGTAAATGTCTTCCATAAAATCATATTTTAAGATTTCGAGATTATCAGATATGATGATTTTACTGATCAAAGAGAGAATAGAAGAAAGATGTCAGCTTAGCATTAGAGAGGAAAGACTGAGTATTGCCTCAAGGCCAAAGTAATGTTGTAACCTAGTGATATGATTATTTTTTAAAAATATATCAGTAAAATTAGTGAAATAGGAAAAACAAAAAGCAGCAGATAAAGGTTTTAAGACCATGGTAGAAAAATTATAAATGGCACTGCAAAACTATCTTAGAAAATTTTCCACCGGTGGTAAAGGGGTACAGAAGGTGGGGTGTGAATAAACATTTAATATACTGACAAATTAAGATAGGGAAGAATGAAAAAAGAAGGGTATTATTTTACATAGCCCAAATTTCATGGAGAATCTAAGGGATTTGTATATGGCGTGGGTTAATTAATTCTTTTTTCTTAAATTTGAAGGCCATCAGTAGAAACAAGACGGATAATGCCAGAACCGGGGAAAAAAATCAGATATGGAATCACATGCATGCTGATAAAATAAAGAGATATAACGCACTATCATCGTAAAACTGGACTATCCCCGAGGATCGGCCAAATTAAGGTCTAATAAGGTTTAAATGATTGCGAAGTAAATATAATAATAATTATTATAAACAGTAAAGAATAAGGTCGGGAAAATAAACAAGAATAATTGAATAAAAAACACCATAAACCCACAAGAACCCAAGATCAATAAGATGCCGACAACACAAAAGATTCAACTTCAGACCCTCATCCAAATAAGTGCGAGGTTTGAACTTATACACTTACAAACATAAACGAAATACATGTTAAATTTACCACGACAGCAACGAAAAAGTGCTTCAATGATCAAGAAACTCAGGGAAATCAAATGGTTTCATCAACAAGATTTCAACTTTAATCTCCATTCAACTCAAATGTCTAAGAAGATCACCCAATATAGCAAAAATGCACACACGCAAATGAACCCAAATCAAGAAAAGAATAGAATAATGAAATTTAACATAAAGAACACAGAAAATGGGTCTTTTTTCTTCTTATTAAAATCCAAAATCAGTGGTGTTTATCGACAAGATTCCAACTTTAATATCCCTTCAACTCAAAGTTTTAACCCTATAAGAACAAAAAAAGAAAAGAAAAGAAAAACCCAAATCAAGGAAAGAATTGCAGCAACCAAATTAAACAAAAAAATAACACAAAAAAACGTTTTCTTAATCGAAAACAATGGGAAATAAGATAATGAAGAAAAAAGAAAGATGGGGTAGAGGACCTTGGGAGGAGGGGGTTCTGTTTGTGAAGAGAATAAGCCAAAAGACCAGAAGGGCCAAAATTGACGGTGACGGAACCAGGGTGAACCGTAGAGAAGTGCTGTGCCAGAAACCCATCTTTCAGGGCTGACACAGAAACTGAGTGAGGGCTCTGCAAACCCTCTGGGCTCTTTGCCACCGATTTGTCGAAAACTGCCAACATTTTTCGTGGATCGGAACCAATACCAGTCTGACGATGCTGAAGATCATGCGATGCAATGCGGTTAATATAAGCTTCTGCGATGGAACATCATTTGTTTCCCATTATGCCCCTTCATTTTTTGGATTATTTTTAAAAACTGTTTTCTATGACCACACTATAGTATTTTTTAACGACCACTCTTTTTGGCGTTCACTTTTTATTCTTCTAAAGAAATTCGTTTTGGACAATTATTTTGGCAGTTTAAAAAAAAGATATATAATTGAAATTTAAATATAATATAATGTTAGCGTAAACATATTATAATTTATTTTATACGTTTATGACGCACTTTTTTATTTTATTTTATTTGTTAAAAAATTGTTATGCAGAGTTTTGAGAAGTGCAGATGTAGAAACCTCTTTCATAATTTAGGATTTTTTATAAGATAAAGTAATAAAAAGTTTGGTTTTAAAAAATATTTTTTAATTATAAAATCATGATGTTTTAAAAAATATTTATGCATAAATATTAAATGGTTTTTATTATAATATTCCTTTATTATTTTGTTTTATACTTCATCATTATTTATATCTTTAATTTTATCCCAAAAGTTTACTTTTGTATTTTACATATATTGTTTCTGTTATTTAAAATATTTTATTCTATATAAATATAATGTTAATTTGCTATTACTCTTTTTATTTAATGTTGTTAATTGTAATATTGCTATCGCTATAGCGAATGCGATAGGTTGCTGTAGTAACACGATTTATATTATAATAATAAATATAGATTATAATATTTTTATCACATTTTTGTTTTATTTTTTAATGTTTCCTTTTTTTTTTCTTTTACAAATATTACAACATGACTTCATTGATATTGTTTTCTAATATATTAGTTTATTATTTGCATCTTAATTGGTATTAATTTATTAACATTTTTACTTTTTCACATAAATTTACGGATTATATTGTGTGCAAAAATATATACTGTTTCTCTTGTTTTAGACATTTAATTTTTATGTTATTTTAATATTATATTATTTTGCTACTGTTGTTTTATTTATGCTGTTATTTGTACTGTTATCATCGTAGCGAGATGGGAGTCACGTGACCGATTACTTGAGTAATAACACAGATTTATTTTATAATATAGGTATAGATTAAGGATCAGATAAAAAATAATATAATTACTTTGGTAATTGTTCTATAGGTTGAGGAGTTAAAAGAATCCTAATAAATAAATGTTTTGTTTTTTGTTATCGGTTTTAACAAAAACTTTCTGCATTTAACCTTTTAACCTTTCAGGATAATAAATTTTTTTACTGTATATCTAAAGATACATAATTTAAAATAAATAATAATAATTGTAATAAATTAATATTAATAAATTTTATAAATATTTATTATGTACGTTTGTTTAAAAATCGTGATTGAAAAAGCACTAAATGACACAGTAAACCGACTTTTCCGCAAAACAAAGATAGGGTTCTGCTTTGCTGTATGGCATGCGGATAGATCAAAGATTCAAAATCGAAGTCATTGTCCAAATGCAACTCATCTTTGACAAATTTTAAAAATTAATATTTAATAAAGAGATTAGGGGAATTTGTTAAGTTTACAAACTGTTGTTCTTTATACAAAAATATCAATTTCTATGCAAGTGACGGTTCTCACATTTCAAAATTTTAAAGGTTTGAAATCAAACGATCATTGTGCTGAAAATTAATATTCCTATAGTGCCCTATAAATACTCTCAACTCGTTAGGAATGACTCTATTTGTAATAATCATATCTTTTTAAAAACTTTCCTATATCCCTTTTACATATATTTTTGAATAATTTTTTTATTATTGTACAAAGTATTGAGCAAAAATTTAGATTATTTTATTATCTTCAAAATATAAAAAAAAATATGTAATAACTTCTTTAAATTGATTAAAAAATTTATAAACAAAAAAGATAAGATAGTTTAGAATTATTATCTTTTTAATAAAAATAATTGGTTAGGGGTACGTCATTTAAATTAATCACTTCCAAATTTTTAGATACTTTGACAATGTTGTTTTTTTCTTTTAAATATTTAAGGGTTTGAAGAAAATAATTAAAAGGGAACATGAATGGTCTTGGCAACAGTGGCAGTTAGGTTGATTTGATTGTAGTCACCAGACACAAAGAAATATCATTAAAGTAAAGCAATTAAATTTAATTGTGATGGTCAAATACACAAAAAAATCATTGAAATATAAAATTGAATTTAAAAATCATTAATTTTCTTTAAAATATTACATATAAAATGAAGAAAATTTGGGGGCCATGGCTCACCTCAGTTAAGCTGTAGCTTCGACCCTGCTTGGCAAAAAATATTGAATAGCTGATTGATTTACAAGGCCATATTGGCTGAAACAAATAATTATGTAAGTAATGATGGATTAAATTATCTACTATCAAGCTGGTCCCTCTAATATAGGACCTGCATGCTATGGATGATTCATAATTCATCACGATGTACAAATGAATTCCTCGCAGCCGATGCAAAGATAAGGAAAACGATGATGCATATTCAACAACAGATTCTCAGATAACCATCTTCTGTTCCAATGAGAAACAATCGAGAGAATGGAAGTATGCTAATACTTGATAATGCTGACAAGCTTCTCAATCCATTATCAGAAACGTAGAGTTTCTGGGGGATAATGTGCTGCTGCCCATCCTGTGCCATGGAACCACACAATCACGATAAAAATTAAAAAAACTCAAGCACAAATCTATGTCTGTATTATTAAACAATGACATTAGCACATTCATATATTATTGACAAGCAGAATCTATATGAGCAAGCAAGAGGGAAGAGAGATCACATCAAGCAACAAGATATAACTAAAGCAATATGAACAAATAGCTTGACATCTATATTAGGTGCTAGGCATGCAAAATTAACATATCTTTCCTATTTCCTATCCTCATCATACTAGCTAGTTATGAACCACAAGAAAGAGTAGCATACTGTTTCATAGGCAGATTTAGACAAGGAGAGAAGTCCAATTCTATTCCGGGAAATTGAAATAACATCTTGGCCCCAAATGGAGAAACTGGATATACCATCTGAATGACCTCTGAAAATACTGGGCCGTGATGGCAAATTCCTGCAAGGGTAATTAAAAGATGAACTACAGGTCAAGTTACATCCTTTTAGAAATGCGGAAGAAAGCTTATCACTTTCATTTAGGTTCTTTTTTTGGAATATATCTTCGTATAAACACGTGCAATATACCGAGCACAGACTAAAATGTATGAAATGTGAAACAACAGAAACATCGGGGGCAAGGAAAGTCCAATACTTGCTTACATGGAGAAAGGAAGAAACATAAAATAGTGGTCAAATATGTTTTTTTGCTCTTTTTGATCATGGATAAATTCTTTAATTTCCTAGAGTGAAATTGTATACAACTACATCGTGTAAAAACATTTTTATATGAAGTTCTATAAACTACCAGCAGGTGTACATTCCATAAGGGGTTATCATTCTTCAAACATCAATTAACATTTACTTTACCTTAAAATTTCATGCGTCAAAAGGCACAAAACTTTGATCTATTGATAAAATGCATGAGAGAGTTACAATCCTAAACTTCTAATGAATTGAAGATTCACAAGGGTGATAGCCCCTACATTCTTAAGTCCCAAACTCGCAAAGTTCTGTCCAGAGAGCTGGAAACAAGAAGATGCTCCTCAGGTGCTGCCAACTGTAAACAAAGACATTGATGAAGCTGTGTGAAAAACAAATTGGGTAGCCATGACATTTGGAACATAACCAACATACCTTTGTCACATATCCATCATGAGCTCGCCAAGAGGCGATGACATTTCCACTCTTTGCATCAAATAATTTACAGTGACCAGAACTTAGTCCAGTTGCAATTAAAGATGGCAAAGTAGAAATTCCTCCTCCCTGCATCTTGTCAGAACCAGCTGAACAAATAGCAGAAATAAGTGAAGGAAAACTAGATTCATTAGATTCCCCTCTCCAAATATGAAGCTTTTGACCTTGAGCAACATCAATGAACCTGTACAGTACATCAAAGATTAAAAAATTAGCAGGCATAAACATATTTTGCAATCTATATCTGATTGAAATGGCATTCAAAACAAATATTTTCACCTTAGAGAACCATTTCCAGTGCCAACTATAAGAGTTTCAGTGGAGTATAATCGATGCATACAAGTATAAAGGCTTGAATCAAAAGCACTAGACAATATTCCATTTGACAGTGTGTTCAAATTAAGCACATTAGCCTGGTCACTGTTAATTTTTGGCGCAGATGATGGGTGGCTTGTAGGATGGCCAGATTCTGTTTGGGACTCAGCAAATACTGATATTTGCTTCCCTGTTTGGCTATCCCAAATGTGAATTGTTCCGTCACAAGATGCCACTCTTCCACTAGATGGTAAGATGCAAATATCATTCACAACCTGAAATTTGAGATATGTATGAGTGACATATTCATTGCAAAAGTTGTTCCCATAGAGAAACACGTCTGTATTTAACTAAATGTCATTTGAAGCTAAAAAAGTTGGATTTTGTTGTGATTGGTTATACTAATTAATGGTATGTTTTTCTCCAACCAATCATAGCCTGTTTTGTTTTAAATCATCATCCATCATGCTTCACTTTGTGCTACTGCATATCAATGCCATAGTTCATGCATGATAGTAGTAGTACCAAATAGTTCTCTGCTACGGAAATGTATAAATATTACAGGGATCTATATCAAGAAATAATTCTGGTGGTTGAAGAATGTCATTTTCAGCAAAGAATGAAGAAGCAAACCTCCTCATGGCCATAATAGCCAGACAGACAGTTAGTTCGGCTCAATTCCCATTTCTGAACAGTTCCTTTATATCCTTGGCCAATTCCTGCGGTAAAAACAGTACATTCATCTTGATGAACAGCCAGAGACCTCACTGCTCCATGGTGTGCACGTATAGAGTATAAAACAGATGCTCTGATTTTCCATGGAAGCTCATCTTTCTGAACCCCAACCCTCCCAAGAAATTCAGGTCCATCCCAGATGGTGGCTGGACTAGGGAACCAAAACCAGGGTTCATGGTTCATTTGGTGTGACATTCCT